TTTTTATAAAATATAAATAAATTAATTTATCTATTATAGTAAAATTTTGAACTATTATTATATTTTAAAAAAATATATTTGTATATATTACAAAATTTTTCAGAGTTAATTCAAAATTTTTTGAAGTAATACAAGCTCCTAATTCTGATTAGTCAATTTATATAAATCTATATATTAGTTTAATTAATAAATATTAATAAAAATTCATAACTAATCTTTAAAAATTCATATCTTAATGAGTTTCTAACTAATATTAATAATTTTACTATTATTAGAATTAGAAAAACCTACTCTACAAACTTCTCTTATATATTAAAATTAGTTTACTTAATATAATTTTTTATAAAATCAAATATATAAAAAATTTATTATTAAGTTTATATATAATTTTAAAATAGTACTCCCTACCCTTAATTCTACTGATTAATATTAATAAATTATCTTTATACTTACAGGCTAAATTAATATGAATGAAAAAATGATTTGAAAAATATTAGATAATTAATTATAAATAAATATTTAGTAATAAGTATATATAAATAAGTATTTTTTTTTTTGAAACTTAGGTGATCTTGCTCTTCATTTATTAAGAGAAAACATAGTAATAATGTTATTATATAATATAAACTAAACTAAGCTAGCTATATAAATATCTTCTTTTTACAATTCTAGATTCACTCAGTTGTCAGACAGTATACAGATATGATCTAATCGCAATAGTCAAATTTTCTTCCTAAGAGAATAGTTTGTCTAAGCAAAGTCATATTCAATTAATCAACAGAAAGTTACTATATACTATTCTTATCAAGATTACCTAATTTTCTAACCTTCCTTTTCTAGCTTTCCAAGCTGAAAGATTTGTATTTCAACTAACTAATGAAAAAAACAAATAACAAGAAAAATAACAAAATATGAGAAAAAGCTACCTATATGAAAAAAATACAAAAATAAAATAAAAGAAGAAAAAGAAAGCAGAAAAAAAAATAATCAAAATAGAATATGCTATTATAGCTCATACTAAGGTATAAGAAATAAAAATTATTTATAATACTAATACATATACTATAAATCTCGAGTATAACTTCTCATTAACTATTATTCTATTTACGTAAGCAGATCTTTATTAGCTTTATATATATTAATCAACTTGTAAACAATTAAGACATGACTTGCTCAAAATAAAAGGTAGTACAAATGCTAATCTTTTGTTAGAGATGAGCCAGAATCTTTACTTTTTTCAAAATAAAAAAAGCTACAGTCATTGTATCAGTTTTGTTAGTCAAAGAATAGAGAAAGTTGTTTGCAAAAACTAGTTACAAAGGGAAAGAGTATTAGAGTGTTTGTCCCAGTGCAAAATACTGTTTGTTGTTTCTTCTTCTTCTCTACTACTTCTTTTCTTCTTCTTTTTCTTTAAAATGCTATAACATAAACTTTCAGCTAAAATAATAGTATTATTATCTACTAGGTTTTTCTGCCTATTATATAAAGAATACTAGACTATACAACTTGTGCTTCTATTTAATAACTACTATTTTGCTAGGTTTTCTAGAGTTGTAAATTATTTTGTAATAAAAAATTTTTGCTCCATAATAGTTTAGGTGATTAGCAGGGGGAGAGAGTTGACTAGTATGTATAAATAAGTATTTATATTTATAATTTTAATAAAATTGATTTATATTAAATTATTTTTATACTTACAGACTATTTGAAAAGTATTAGATAATAAATTGTAATAAAGTTTTAGAGATAAGTATTTATAAATAAATATCTATATTCATAATTTTAATAAATTATCTTTATACTTATAGACTATTTAACGGATATTAAATAATTAATTATAAAGAACTATTTAGTAATAATGAAACTCTTTCTGCTGATCACCAAAACTAATACTGGAGTAAAAACTTTTTTACAAAACAAGTACTAAATCTAAGGAAACCTAGTAAAATATTAGTTCAAAATAGAAGCATAGAATATATAGTCCTATAAGACCTTTAAGGCAATAAGTGGCAGAAAGCTGAAATGAATGGTTCTAATATTTTAGCCAAAAGTTTGTCTTGCAAAATATTAAAGTTGAAAAGAAGAAGTTTATAGAAAGTTGAAGTTTGAAGAAAGAAGAAGAAACACACTACAGTATTTGTACTAGGACAAATACTTTTACACTCATTTACTTCTACTTGGTTTTTTGTACTTATCTACTTTTCTCGGTCTTTTAGATTTTCATTTTTTGTCATTTGTAGGAATTCAGCCTATCTTTGAAAAAGGATTAACAATGCTATATTCAAATTAGTGAACACTATATGTTTACAAACAATCCAATAGTAAACAATGATACACATGATAAGGCAAGTACAGTTAGTAGCAAATTTAGATACTTCCTAGTAGCAGAACAGAGATTATTAATTAGAGATATAAAGTATGTTGTGGTATCAGTACTTTATACAATTTTTACAAAAGTCTTAAGCACTATAGAGATAGTATTTGAACAACATTTTCTTTTCTTTTCTTTTTTTTGTTCTTTGTTTTTGTTTTTTTTATATATTATCTTATATATATAGTATATGCCATAGGATAATTTAGTCCTTTATATATAGTATTTTTATTTTTCCTTTTTGCTATACGGAAGGGTATTATCAGTTTGGTAATATTTAACTATATAGGCAAGAAGTCATGATGAGCTAAGTAGTCTTATATAGTAATACCGATGAGGAAGTGATAAACTAGTCTAGACTCTAGGTTGAATTAAAACTACGTTATAGCAGGTCGCGAATAGATACCTTTGGAGTAACTAGTCAAGACTTACCATTGATATTCGCATGTTGATGTGTACTGCTTTCTTTGGTTGTTAAGTTAGGCATTTGTAACCCTTGTAGTTTTTTAATTACATTGAATAAATGATAAGGCATAGCTTGCTGAAAAGAAAAAAAAAAAAATAAATATAATAATAAAATTTAATTAAAATTTAAATACATATATATTTTAAAAAAATAAATATATAAAATATTTTTATTTAGAATAAAAAAAAAATAATTTAAAAAATTACAAATTTAATTTTAAACAAAAAGAATTATATTTATATGAACCTAATACTTTTGTTATTCCATTTATACCTTGATCAGTGATTCCAAAAAAATTATTTATAGAATTAATAGTAGCATCTGTTAATTCATAATCATAATTATATATATCACCTTGTAAATCACAAATTACTAATTGATTGTTAGAATAATTATAAGTAAAATGCATAAAAGCTTCTAATGTTTTATATTTTTCATCATAATTATAGTATTTAGCATTATTGTTAAATTTTGTAAAATTATTTAATTCAGATTCTAAAAAATATAAATGATTATTATAATTCAATAAATAAACATTTTTAAAAGAAATTTTTCGTGATGCTACTTTGGTATTATTAAACTGATTAGCAAAAAATTGTGAAACTAATGTTGTTAAAACAGTTGTTTTATATCTTTCAATATCAAATTGATCAAATAAATATCTTTTAACAACAATATCTTTTCCTGTTCTAATATTTTTTCTATAAAATATTTCTCTTTTAGCATCATAACTTGGAAGACGATTCAAGTCAAATTTAATAGTTATATTATTAGAAGTAATATTTGATTCATTATTAAAGTAATAATTACACACTCTTTCCACTGATCACCAAAACCAATACCAGAGCAAAAACTTTTTTACAAAACAAGCACTAAACTCAAGGAAACCTAGTAAAATATTAGTTCAAAACAGAAGCGCGTGGTGTATAGCCCCATAAGACCTTTAAGGCAATAAGTGGCAGAAAGC